GGGGCGGCGGGGGGAAGAAAAAGTCTTCCTTATGTCCAGTCTAAACCAGCCACTCTGTACGTTTAAAGCCATTGCCCCTTGTCCTGTTACTGCAGGCCCTGGTCAAAGCTGTCTTTCCTATAGACCCCTTTAATTTACTGAAAGGCCACAGTAAGGTCTGCCTGGGGCCACCTTTTCTCCATGCTGAACAACCCCAATGCTCTCAGCCTTTCTTCACAGGAGAGGTGCTCCAGCCCTCGGATCATTTTTGTGGCCCGTTGGACTCTCTGCAACAGCTCCATGTCCTTCTTGTGTTGGGGACTCCAGAGCTGAATGCAGTATTTCAGGTGGCGTCTCACAAGAGCAGAGTAGAGGGGCAGAATCACCTCCCCTGACCTGCTGCCACGCTGCTTTGGATGCAGCTCAGGGTACAGTTGGCGTAAGAGTTGGAGTTTGGAGACTGATCTTCTCAAGCTCTTTCTGCAGTCAGTAAAGAGAGGGTGAGAGAAAGAAGCTTCTTTCGGGAGTGGATTGAAACAGGAGCCTGTCGCAAAGGTGTGTGTTGCGCCTTCCAATACTTATGGTCGGAGTGAGCGGCGTTTGGAGAGCTGGCTGGTGACTGATCAGCCCTGTCATTTCCTTGGGGGAAAAAGGCTGCTGAACATCACGTTCTCAGTGACATGTCACTCTGTGGCAAAAGGCTTGTGGGATGGGAGTAGCTTACCAAGATCCTGTCCATGAGTGAGTAGTCACCTCTCTGGTGTGTCCTGGGGCAGGGTCATGCATGTCACTAGTAGCTTTATTTGGGTGGTGGAGATGGACTGTAATATATTTAAATATGGCTAGTTTCATGCATTTTGTACGCTGCTGTCAGAGAACCACAGTTTCCCTTCCATCTCTTGGAAGACTCTTGACAGACAGGAAGACTGATGCCTTCCTTTTCTGCACAAAAAAATGAGTTGCCTAGTTTAAACTCCCTTCCTTCTCAGTCAAGTATGACACTGAATGTTTCAAAGTGTATGTGCTGCGTGGGGATACAGGGGCAGGATGTTATCAAAGCAACAGTAATCTTCAGATGCTGGCCCAGCCAGCTGAAGTCCTTTAGAACTGGTGGAAATAACCAGAATGCGGACTTCATATCGCATTTCTATATGCAGCATCCTTGGACTGTGTTCTGTAGCCATGGCTACTGCTGCCAAAAAAAAACGTAATACCAGACCAATTCAGAATCTGTACTATGTTCTCTCCTTAGCCATCCTTATTGTGCAAGACTTTCCCTTGTTCTGTATAAATATGGGGACCATGCCTGTTCTCCTTATTCCCTGCTCTTCACAGTCTTACAAATGTGAGGAAAAGATCTCTCTTTATAGGTTGCTGTTCCCAAAACTACGTTTGGGATTTTGCATTCTCCTAACCAGCTGGAACTTGCTGGAAAGGGTGCAAATGGGGCCATGCATTTCTGCAGGTGTTTTAGATCTTCATCTCTTCCAACTCTATTCTGTTGTTTCCCAAAGCCTGACTTCTTGTCTTGCAGGCTCAGCTGTGCCGTGCTCTTGACATAAGGTCAAAATGTGTGAGGCTTCCATTACTCAAATAAAAGAAGCCTATTGTTTAGTTTTTGATCGCCCAAGCACCTTTTATCATCTATCTTCCTTTTCTCCTAGCTTTTTTCAGGTTTGTGTTTTCCACCTTTGTATTTTTTCCACTTCATTTTCACAAAAGAATAGCATGTGTCTCACTGTGCTTCCCAGTGCTTTCCTCACAGCCTTTGCTGTTGTACTCCAAGGGCTTGGGCGCTCCCAGTCCTATTGGGGCTGAGTAGGGGTAAAATGGGCCAGATAATGTTGTCTGTTGTCACTCTTAAGGCTGACTTTCTCTCTCCTTGAATAGGGGAATTACACAGCTGTCCCTGATAAAGTTAAAGCACTAGGATAACTCTTCTCAGTTTTGTATTTTAAAACATTACACGGCAGAGTATGCTTAATATATGTAGTACACTGAAGAAGTAATTTCATCCAAGAAACTAGGGAATCTCTCGCTTGCTCTCTCTTGCTCTCTCCTTCTTTTTTCGGTGCCATTGTTGTTGTTTTACGTATTGCAGTGATTGTCCAGAGTGTCATCTGCTTTTGAAATGGTTGTTTTGTAGGGCATGTTGCTACTGATAATCTCTTTGCAATTAGTCCAAAGAAAGACTCATTTACTTTGGAAGAAGAAGAAGAATATGCTTTGGTTTCGATCTTAGTGCCTGGTTCTAGACTTGCCTTTATTTTGGAGGAGACCAGCGCAGTTGACACAAAGGAGTGTTTGCCATGTTGCCTATATGTAGACCATGTTGGATTGTGAGTTTTTCTGTCAAATCCCGACAGGAATACTCAGGAAAGACACTTCCAGCATTTATGGACTACCTTGTTGCTATTAGTTTTGTTCTCAATTGTTAATTTCACGTTTCTTCTTTTCATTCTTCCAGCTCAAACGATGAATATCTACAGTTACTTTAGGTACAGCACTGAATAAGTGCGTCTGGTTTGTACTGAAAATGACATTTTTAGCTGTGTCGTGCTTTTAAATTTGACTTGGTTCCACCCTTACATCAGAAATCATCTGGAATGCTGGGATGGAAGACTTTGTAATTGTTTCAGTTGCTGCATCCTCTGTCTGGTTTGGCTGTTGCCTTGTGCTCAGGAATTTCACACACGTGCTCAGTGTTCAGGGTGTGTGTGGTAGCTTCTGCAGTGAGAATTATTACAATATTAATGCTTTTTACAAGTTTCGGTGGAATAGCTTCTTGCAATAGTAGTCTTGGAAAAGTACATAGTTGAGTTTTTTTTTGGTTGGTTTTGTTTTGATTTGTTTTTTCTTTATCCTGTAGAATATAGATGACATTTTGTTTGTACTTTTTCTCTTGGGTTATCACAAGAGTGAGTGTAGTGGATGGTTTCCCTGCCCATGGCAGGGGGCTTGGAACTAGGTGATCTTTGAGGTCCCTTCCAACCCCAACCATTCTATGATTCTATGATTCTATGAGGACTGTCTGTGTTGGAGCGCAGCCTGCAATGCTCTATGGTGCGTTTGTATTTCTAGATACAGTTGGTGAACAGCCTCTGGCAGAGCCGTCTCTCCTGTCTGAGTAGACTAGGTTGTTGTCACCTTTCTGTTTTATGGATTGAAACAAATATCCCCTCCCATGACTGGTTCCTCTCCTAGATAGAGGTTAGGATTAGGGAAGGACTCGGAAATTGGTAAAGTATGGCTTCTTTTAGTTCCTTTCAAAAACTTCAGAAAGACTGTTTAACTAACCGTGCATCCATAAAATTAAGGGCAGAGAGAAAAGAAGAAATGTATTTCACTTAGTATATTGTGAAAAATCTTTATTTGTAGTTGAGAAGAGGAAAAAATTACACTTTTTGAAGAGAAGGTGTTATTATATCAGAAAACATATTTGAAAAATAGCAAGAAATCTAAGATTTTTCTTGCAAATGACTGAAAATCCTTTCTCAACATACCTTAAAAGCAGAAAAATGTTAGTGAACATACAATGTGTTCAGAACCTGTTAGTAAATTTAAGGAAGAACTATACCTCTGCTCTCTGTAAGGTGTCAGAGATTGGTGCTTCATTACATCAGCATGCCTTTCTATTTTTACCTGCTGTTCTGTACTCTGTCATGTTTTCCCATGAGTTTGCTGGGAGCCTCTTCTGGAATAAGTCAAAAGTTTTATCTCATTTTCTGGCCTCCCTTTCAGATGGGTCCACATTAAACATAATATTTTGGTCTAATGGGGCAGCTTCGCTGGTATGAAGTTTTACATTAATGGTGGGAAACTTTATTTCGCCTATTGGGATCTGCTTACATGGCGTTTGGACTCGAGACCTTGGAAGAAGTGCAAAGGATCTATTAAAGGGGTGGAGGGCAGTGTCTTTCTTTGTTCGAGGGTAGAGTTATAGTTGTGAGCATGCTGTGCGTGAGAATAGCTGTGGAATAAAGCATTTCAGAAAGAAAGCTGTTTGTTAGAGATGAAAATGTAATCCTGTAGGCAGCTGACTCCCGTAAGAAGAGAACCTAGCCTGGGACTGCGATCAGCAACAGTCAGTCTCCGAAACACGGGGTACGTTGTTGGATGCAAGGACAGCTGTTGGTGGATGTCCACAGGGCACAGCTACCCCATGAGTCCTCCTAGTGCTGCTGGCCTGGGCAACCCAGATGCCTTCCTTGCACCTTTCTGGCCATGGTACTGGCCCAGGTGTTTAAGGGGATTTATTCTATGTTGGATTAAAGATCTGTGTTATTCTTTTTTGCTGGGTTATTTTTAAGCAGGATCAATTTCCTAAGCTGATTCACTGACCTGCCCCAGTTTAATGATACGATGAGGCTGGTTAAGATGGTGGTTCCCAAGTTATTGCGGTTGAATGTGGGTTTGCTGACAAAGATTTCTGTTTAACCACAGCCGAAGTCGTGTCTGATGCAAGAAGAGAAATTAAGAGATTGCACCATTTTACTCATCAACACTTCAACGTGATGGGGAGGGAGATAAGTAGATGTGGGGTGATCTGTAAACACAGGATTACAAGGCAGCTTGGCGGTGTGCACATCCTTTTTGTATTCTCTTGATAAAAGTGAATCATGGACCTCACCTGATACGAGCTTGAAGAGAAAGTGCGAAATTCAAAGGAAGATTGGAATGGCTTGCTAGAAAACCTGTAAACAAAAATGTAATGGCAGACTGTGGGTGGCAATGTGAGTAAGAGCAGACTCACATTTCTTTCAGAGAGAAACGGGTCTCCATCATCTCTTCCCTCTCCCCCTCCGCTGATTTGGTTTCTATGAGAATATCAGATACCATGTCCCATCTTGACTTGTGTTTTATAGTGTTAAAATTTTTATGTGAGTTTTTGTTCTGTCGTTGGAACGATGACTTCCTTATTACCTTGTTTCTGTCAAATGATTTTGGGTGGCAGTAGCTGAGTTATTTTCACTTATCTTTTAATTGAATTTGTAATAGGCTTTTACTAAAGTATCTTCACCTATATGGTATGTTTTAACTGTATTTCTTCTGGAGGAATGCAGAACCCGTTGGGTAAAATGTGCTTATTTTAAAAGCCGGAAGAGACTGCTGAGACCAAAACCAAAGCTCCTGTGAGATTTTGTTCACTGTTTTCTGAATGCAGGACAAAATAGGTGCTTGAAATAAGGATGTATTCTTCAGAAACCATCCAAGGTCAATGCATGAAAAATCTTCTTTTCACTTTAATAACTCATTTCATGGGTTACTTTGCTTTTCCTGCTTAGATAGCTATATTGGAGTTGCAATATGAAGGTTTTTCTTTAGTTTTGTTCAGGTTATATTAGCTGCTTTTTTACTGAGGCTCACTGATGATCCTGTAATTCAGTATGTTGATATTGTTTGAAGTAAAAACAAATATTTCAATTTTATGTGGTCTGAGTACATGGGCTTGTGTGTTTTTTTTTTTCCCCAAGGTGTACAAACAAAAACAGTTTGGGTTTAGATTTAACATGTGTTTGAAATTTCATGGAATTCCTTTTTTAAACTAGGATTTATTTAAGGCCTAGCATAATGTCCTCCATCCCTGCACACCAGGCCAGAACGTATTCTGTCGTAGGCAACTGCTTATTTGCAGTCACCATATCTGATTTTTATTTTTCCCTGGGACGCTGGAGGATTAGAGCAGATTATAGTGTTAGGATAATGTCTGACTCCTTGTGTTCCATTTAGTCATAAATAAACCCCTGGAAAAAAAAATCTGAATGTTGCTATGGTGACGTTAGTAAAAGCCTAGGGTATGGAGTAAGTGAGCGGCTTAGAGGCATAATGTCACTTACAGTAATGAGCATGCCGTCGTTAGAGCAGCGGTGGGTTTGCCTGATGCTCTGTAACTTGGGTAGCCCACGCCGGGTTCTGAAAGCGAGTAAGTAAATGCAATTCACATGAATACGTGCTGTTCAATAACTTGCAACTGCTGACCTTTTAACAAACAGAAATTTGTGTTTTGTCTGTTTACATTCTAGCTTTAAAGTGTTGAAGTGTCACTGTGAAACAAGTGGAAACGTCCAATCTTTTTATGCTACCTTTCATGTGATGTCCTGGTTGAATTAAAACAACAAAACCCAGCAATTTTAAACTGCATAAACACACACTTTTTATTCTTCTGAAAGTGTGGAAGGTAAAAAGTAAGACTGCATTAAAATGTGGTTTGTTCTTTTTTTTTTAGTCTTTATAACCTGGCTTCACTGGAACTTAGAGAAAATTTGCTGACATATTTACCTGAGTAAGTGACATTTCATGTGTTTGATTATATTAACATAAAATGTTATTATTCTTAAAATCTGCTCACATATGAAACTGAATGGCAGCTAGAAGAAATATTGAGTGCTGATTGACAACGTATATGAGATACAGCTTTGTTTTAGCAACACCTAGTTACATCCAGGACTTCTAGATGTACTTGGTTAGTAGCAGGACCCTGTGGTCTGCGTCGATTGGTTTTGCTCTCTATATATACTCTGTATAAAATACACCAGCAACAAACATTTATTCTTGCATGCATTGAACGAG